TGACCCATGTAGTTGTTTATGACCTTAATAACCTTACATGTGTATTAGTTTAATGTAAACTAAACAGTTTTTCCTTTATTGAAAAATAGGTGGTCCATTTTTGGACCACCGGTCCTCAAAGGGTTAAACTCGATTGCATTGAACTGAATCAACTTTGTTTCTGTAACAGTTTTAGTATAAACAAGTCGAGTTTAAAATATCAAAATCATTTTCTTTGTTTAAGCGGACTAAACTCGCAGAGAATTTTGACAATGAATTTGTCGATAAAAAATCCTAGAAAACTTCTTTTTATTTATTTCTCGAAAAAGAACTGGAGATGTTTGCTGATATTGGAAAAAGTCAAATGAAGATTTCTCGACTCTCGCAATAGCTAGAGAGTTGTAGTCTTTGTCAAAGAGTAGCATTCTTGATTCTCTACAGGCTGCATGGGCTTTTGGTAGCGGCGGAAAAACTTGTTTAAATCGTGATACGTTGCAAATACAAATACTCGTGAACTAACCGATTCTCATGCTTCACTTTTGCTACTAGAGACACTGAATTTCCACGATTCTGATAATATTTATTTACGCTTTCTCATTTTTGATTAGTCATTTGTTTCTGAAAGATGCTTTTTTTCATATTTGATGCTCAGCGTCACTAAAGTTACCATGTTTGGCTTCCACCGAAAACTCTTTAAATTGGTGGCCGCGAGCTCAACACTGGCAACAGCAGTTATATTTTCTACCAATGAACAAAAGACATCAGCTTCAATTTGTATACCACCTCCAGACGTCTATCCAAACAAACACAATCTCGATTTATCAACACTCATTCCATCCCGTCCATCTCATTTAAAACCAATATACGTCACCATTCTTGTTCGTCATGGCCATCGTACACCAATTATACCATTACCAAATCAATCACGAAGCGAATTTCATTCTGTATGGGGAGATTGTCATAATCTCAAAAATGAACTCCGACCATGTGATATTGGTGATTTAACACCATTAGGTGAATATCAAATGTTTATAGTTGGACAACATATACGTCAACAGTATGTCAACAAAGATCATTTATTACCAATCACTTTCAATAAAAATGCTGATACATTGATGTTACGTAGTACATTTAGACCAAGGACAAAATTATCATTATATCGTCTTGTACAAGGTCTCTATCCAGATGAAAACCTTCAAACCATTAGTCAACATGTACGTGTAGTTGATAATGAGAAAGAAACTTTATTTCCAAATTCTACATACTGTTCTCGAATGAGAGAACTGTTTACACAAGCACGTGAACAACAATCATATCTAAATCGTATTAATTCCAAAGATGTTTTAGAATTAAAAATTAAATTTGAATTAGCTTATAAAATGTCATTATTTGATCCAAAACGAATGCCATCATGGATTATGTTAGGTAAGTTTAGACAATGTACTACTACCAGATATTTTTATTTTCCAAGAAAATGGTGTTATTTTTGAGTAAGCCTGCATGAATTCTGGATTTTGTGAAACTCCTAAGACATAGCCTACGCAAGGGAGTAGACGTTTATAAGCAGGAAAACTGGCCTCTTTATTGGAAGTAATGGAAATACTCTTAATGTCCTGTCTCAAAACTCTTAAAGTGACAAAGATAATTTTCAGGCTATAGAACTACGCTTAGGGATTGATAAACTCTCAAAAACGTCTGGAAGATCTCTTGAAACGGTATGGAAATACTCTTACGGATACTAATACGCGGTACTATTATTATACACTGTTTTGATAGTAGCTTGAATATATAAATATTTATCCATCAGGAGTTTCCTGTTTGTGTCCGCGCGGACAAGGTTTTCTGATAGTTCTCGTTGACTGAATATTGAATTTAATAAATAAAGACTTTTTGGCCTGATTTTACCCAATAGGAACAAACTCACTGGGTCCCTTTTACTACCCCAAAACAGCTTTTCCCTTATCTTTAGAACTGTTCATTAGATTTAAATAATTTTTATTTTGTTCCCTTAAAATTGATCAAACATCTATAAAAAAATCAGATCTTGATCACTTGTCTTTCCGGAAAAATAGTTAAAATAGTAAAAAAACACATGACTGTTAGCGCCATGTGCTCGCACAAGCAAATTGTTTTCTCTATACTTTGTAAAACGT